GCTTCGACTCCAGTAAGCATAGCGTCGTGATCCTCATGGGCTCGTTAGCCCGGCATCTAGATAAGGACGATCCCCGAATTAAACCGATCGTTCGACGATTGATCGCTGCTCTATCGACTCCTTCCCAACAGGCAGGTCTTATTTCTTTTATTCATGAATTCGATCCACGTTTCACTAAATCGTGAAGGATTATCATTAGAATAATTCGCGTAAAGTCACTTAAATCTTTCAAAACGACGATCACACGGTCGTTTGATCGCGGAAGCCATGGTAAACCTGAAAAACTTTATCAATGCATAAGAAATTTATTATATTGTCGGTCTCGGCTCAGCGCTTATGTCGCGATTTTTTTTTTTTGTTTGTTTTGGTGTGTTGGTGGGTGTACCTCTGCCCGTGTGTGTTGGTGGATGTATCTCTGTGTGTGCGAGCGTGCGCGCGTATTTTTTGGTGGGTGCATCTGTGTCTGCGTCTCTCTCTCTCTCTCTCTCTCTCTCTCTCTCTCTCTGTATATCCGTGGTAAGTCCGCATTTGTGTGCGTGTGTGCGGGGGCGGGGTGTTTTTTTTCTTCTTTTCAAACCATTCGCATGTAGATAAAAAGCAACGACATTCTTCGTTATTGTTATTGCATTTATAATGGACGATTTAATTGGCGAGCGTGCGCAAGGCCATGAGAATTCTTTTATTCTTTTTAATGAGAAGAGAGCGTTTCTATAAAATCAGGTGCAAGAGGCCGTGGCCAATTGTCTGCCGCACCTAGTGCCATCGATCAAGGAGGACGCTCCCAAGATCGTCCAGAAGCTCATGCACCAGTTGCTCAACTCGGATAAATATGGCGAGCGGAAAGGGGCAGCTTATGGCTTGGCCGGCCTCTTCAAGGGCATGGGAATATTGGCGTTGAAGCAGCTCGACATCATGACAACACTGACTAACGCCATCCAGGACAAAAAGAATTATCGACACAGGGAAGGTGCGCTGTTCGCCTTCGAGATGCTCTGCACGATGCTCGGCAGACTCTTCGAGCCCTACATCGTCCACGTGCTGCCGCATCTGCTGCTTTGCTTTGGTGACTCGAGCCAGTATGTCAGGGCGGCAACGGACGACACTGCTCGAGTGGTAATGAGCAAGCTATCGGCTCACGGTGTCAAGCTCGTCCTTCCCAGTCTTCTAGCTGCTCTCGAGGAGGATTCTTGGAGGACAAAGACAGGTTTGACTCGAACTTAATCGCCAATCGCCGTCTTTCTTAATACACATTACTATTCAAATCAAATTCTTATTACAATCTCTGCTCGCGATAGTTGAGTGTAAAAAGGTTGAGGTACATCTCTTTAGCCTCTCAACTGTTGCAAGCAAGTTTGATTAAGTGATAATCCATCTGTTTATCGACAATAGCCGTAGCTAATTGTTGCGAGTGTTCAACTGTCCAACGAGTCGAGTAAGTCGATAAGCGACAATGTTTATCAAAAAATTATTTAACATTGTTTAGACTTGTCGCCCTAACGGTTTAAAAATTTTAATCGCTCGACCACGTGTTCCTCAAAATCTTAAAAACTCTCTGCAAGATGCAAGGTGTGACGACAGTAACATATACGATTGACCGAGTCATAGAGAATATATAAAATATAAATATTCGCCTTATTATTAAGCATTAAATGAGGCTAAAGTAAAAAATGTTATGAAGAGGAAATTATCGATGCCAAATCATGGGAAGGAAAAATGCGTATTGTCTGTCCCCAGGTTCCGTGGAGCTTCTTGGTGCAATGGCATTCTGCGCACCCAAACAGTTATCCAGCTGTCTGCCAAGTATCGTCCCAAAGCTCATCGAAGTCCTTAGCGATTCCCATACCAAAGTCCAACAGGCTGGTGCGGAGGCCTTGAAGGTCATTGGTAGCGTTATCCGTAATCCCGAGATACAAGCCATCGTGCCAGTACTGCTGAAGGCTTTGCAAGATCCAGCGAAAAAGACAGCCATGTGCCTACAGACTCTTCTCGATACTCAGTTTGTGCACTTTATAGATGCGCCGTCGCTCGCTTTGATCATGCCGGTTGTGCAGCGTGCTTTTATGGACAGATCGACGGAGACGAGAAAGATGGCTGCTCAGATAATCGGGAACATGTACTCGTTAACAGATCAGAAAGATTTGACGCCGTATTTACCAACGATCATTCCAGGATTGAAGACGAGTTTACTCGATCCAGTGCCCGAGGTGAAGAGCGACGATTATGCCTTTTTATTTCTTTTATTTTATATTACTTCCCACCCCGATTCTATTCATTGCCCATCGAAATCGACAAATGTCAGAGATTTTGAGCTTATCATGGGAATTTAAACTAATTCGTTTTGCCAGTTGCACGAATGCCATTTTACAAAAGTAACGCTTTTTTTTTTTTTTTTTTTTTTTTTTTTTTTTTTTTTTTTAATTATTAACCTTGTCGATTAGGAACTGTAAGAAAGAGAAAAACAAATTCTATCAACATATTTATAAGCAGCTTGGATTTTGTTGATTTTCAAAAGGATATACCAAATTTTATTAAGTCATCGTGGAATATCTATACATTAAAGTTTATCCATTCAAGCTGCACCATACAAAAATCTTAAAAAATCAAAGGCATTATTTATTACGTAATAACGTAAGGTTTATGCGTTGTAATAATTCAATAAAAAGTTTTACCGATCATAATTACACCAGAACATCGATTATTTTATAGAATAGAAAGAAGCAAAGATAAAGTTGCAATTAGGCACGATTCCTTGTGCCGTACCTAACAATACAATTTCATTTCCACATTCGATTTCTATAATAAAAGTCAATTTTATTCCCATTAAAATCCAACATAATATTTGACTCGGATGCTTTAATTCCTAGGTGCGCAGCGTCTCGGCACGCGCCCTCGGTGCGATGGTTCGTGGCATGGGCGAGTCGAGCTTCGAGGACCTTCTACCTTGGCTCATGATGACGCTCACCTCCGAGACGAGCAGCGTCGATCGCTCGGGTGCAGCTCAAGGCCTCTCCGAGGTCGTACGCGGCCTCGGCGTCGAAAAACTCCACAAACTTATGCCGGAAATTATAAGCACGGCCGAACGCACGGACATCGCACCCCACGTCAAAGATGGCTACATCATGATGTTTATTTACATGCCGAGCGCGTTCACGACGGAATTCACCCCGTACATCGGCCTCATCATAAATCCGATCTTGAAGGCCCTGGCAGACGAGAACGAGTATGTGAGAGAGACGGCCCTCAGGGCCGGACAACGAATCGTTACCTTATACGCCGACTCGGCGATTATGCTGCTGTTGCCTGAGCTCGAAAGGGGATTGTTCGACGACAACTGGCGTATAAGGTATTATTATATTGGTGTTTACATTAAAAAAAATTATCCAACGAGTGGATGATTTCAGGATGTTTCGTTGAAAAATGAAAAATGAAAAATGAAAAATGAAAAATGAAAAATGAAAAATGAAAGAGGAAAGAGGAAAGAGGAAAGAAGAGAAAAGAATGCCTTTTGAAATATAGTCACACCTAGCCCACCTCCCAACCCCACCCACCATTCTCCAATTTCTTTTTGATAAAAAACGTAAAGACCCGAATGACCGACTCGTCCATGTTGGAAGGAGGAGGGTTGTACTGATAATCTGGCTCGTAGGTATTCATCGGTGCAGCTGCTCGGCGACCTCCTATACAGAATATCCGGCGTATCGGGCAAAATGTCGACGGAAACGGCGAGCGAGGACGACAATTTCGGAACGGAGCAGTCGCATTACGCGATAATCAAGGCTCTCGGAGCGGAGAGGCGCAATCGGGTGCTCGCCGGTCTCTACATGGGCAGATCCGACGTGGCTCTGATGGTGCGCCAGGCGGCGCTGCACGTTTGGAAAGTCGTGGTGACGAATACACCCCGTACCCTGCGTGAAATTCTCCCAACCTTGTTCTGCCTCTTACTGGGATGCCTGGCGAGCACGAGCTTCGATAAGAGGCAAGTGGCCGCCCGCACTCTCGGCGACCTCGTGCGCAAGCTCGGCGAGCGAGTGCTCCCGGAGATAATACCGATTCTCGAGCGTGGACTGCAAAGCGAGCAATCCGATCAGAGACAGGGCGTCTGCATCGGTCTGTCGGAGATTATGGCGAGCACGAGCAGGGACATGGTTTTGTCGTTCGTTAACAGTCTCGTACCGACCGTGAGGTAAGGACCATTTGGTCGATCATTACCGACTTTTTCATATTAACTTTTCATATTGACAACGACGACGACGACAACGACGACAACGACGACAACAACAACAACGACAATTACAATAATAATAATAATAATAATAATAATAATAATGATAATGATAATAATGATAATAATGATAATAATAATAATCATAATAATGGGGCTTTGGACATTTTGTTCCAACTCTCGCACTCTCGGCTAGAGAGGATAATTGAAGGAAATTTGAGAGTAGATAGGGAGACAAAAATATTATAAGCCTCGTATCGTTAGTTTAAGGGAATAAAGTTGATCGACAGTACTTTGCCCAGAATGTCAATGAAATTTCATTTTGTATGTTGTAAAAGACGTGCGTGTATGTATTCTCCACCAATGAGACAAAAATTTACGATTAATAATAATCGGGCAGATAAAAGCCATAAAAAAGGTGGAGGACTGGCCTTTTGTTAATTAAACCATTGTATTAACGGGGGAATATTAGAGGAGGATGACGTGCGCGAGGATTACCCATTCAATCGAATAAAATTAATCGTACTTTTAGGAAAGCCCTTTGCGATCCATTACCAGAAGTACGCCAAGCTGCAGCAAAGACCTTCGATAGCTTACATTCGACCGTAGGAGTTCGCGCACTCGATGACATCCTTCCGGCCATGTTAACCCAGCTTAACTCACCGAACCAAGCCGAGGCTGAAAACACGTTGGATGGACTGCGCCAAGTCATGGCAATTAAATCTCGAGTTGTCCTTCCTTATCTCGTACCTCAACTCACTAGTCCACCTGTCAATACAAAGGCCTTATCCATACTGGCGAGCGTAGCTGGCGAAGCCCTCACGAGGTTCGTACCACATGCAATAAGTCGTCCTGACCAATATATAGGGGCGGGGTGGATGAGGAGGAGGATGGGGGGGGGGAGAGAAAAACAAGTCGACAATTGTTAAAAATTTATGTAAATAGGGAAGGATAAGGATGTAAATGTTATTTCACAAGATTTTCTTAAGTGGAAGGTCTTTTTAGCGTGTGTGTTGTATTTCAAGAAATACCGATATACTTTTTGCTTCGATAATTCACGTCTTTGACGTTCAAACTTTCTTGGCCTTTAACGGCTTAATAACAATAATTGATCGTCCTTTGTATAAAACAATTTTTTTTTTTTATATACGAGGCATTTTAGCGATTAAAAGAAAAAGAAAGAAAGAAAGAAGGAAAGAAAGAAATCGCTAAATCACGGCTGACGCGAACGAACGCCAATTATACATCAAAAGGAATTTTCACCCAAGATGTTGATTGCTCCTTCATTGCCATTAATTATTGTTCTCGATGCGTGACTGCCAACTGGAAGTGTATCGTTATTTGCAAATTTCAATGCTAAATGATCATTGTAATGGGGATCCTCAGCCGGCAATGCTTTCAGGCCACCTTTATACGTCATAAATATACGCATGCTTTACAGATTTTTGCACAAAATTTTGCCAGCCTTGCTCACCGCCCTATCGAGCGCCCAAGGTACCTCCGAGGAGATGCAAGAGCTCGAATACTGTCAGGCTGTCGTGTTATCGGTCGCCGACGAGATCGGCGTAAGAACAATTATGGACCAGCTAATGGAGGCAACGCGGTCCGATGATTCAAGCCGTAGAAGAAGCGCCGCGACACTTTTGTGCGCATTTTGCAGGGACACCAGGGCCGATTATAGCCAATACGTACCGCAACTTTTACGCGGACTCATCCATCTTTTTACCGACGATGATAAAGACGTGCTGCAGATGAGTTGGGAGGCCTTGACAGCTGTGACTAAGGTGAGTGAAGATTGCCGCCAGTAGTGCACTATACGGGATCTATTTGTCCAATTGAAGAGCGCACGGCTTTTAAATAATTGATAAAGCGTCGGCATAAAGATCCTTGAATGTTTACTTGCAGACTCTCGGGTCGGATCAACAAATAGCACACGTTCAAGATATTCGACAAGCCGTTCGATTCGCCGTTTCCGATCTGAAAGGGCAGGATCTTCTGCCCGGCTTCTGTCTACCCAAGGGTATCACCCCAATATTACCAATTTTTCGTGAGGCCATTCTGAACGGCATGCCGGAAGCTAAGGAACAAGCTGCCCAAGGTCTCGGGGAGGTGATTCGTCTGACGAGCGCCTCAGCCCTTCAACCAAGCGTCGTCCACATAACCGGACCGCTTATTCGCATTCTCGGTGACCGTTTCAATTGGAGTGTTAAAGCGGCTGTTCTCGAGACTTTAGCTATTCTGCTCGGCAAGGTGCGCGTGCTTATATATATATATATATATATATATATATATATGAATGATCGTAGGATAACGCCAATTGCACTATTAATTACAATTAATTAAGCATCGTATTTTATTATAAATTCATGTTATTAGGTTGGAGTGATGCTGAAGCAGTTTTTACCTCAGCTTCAAACGACGTTTTTAAAGGCGTTGAACGATAGTAATAGACAGGTCAGGCTTAAGGCTGCTTACGCCTTAAGTAATCTTATTGTCATTCATACACGCGCGGATCCACTATTCGCTGAACTTCATACCGGAATTAAAAATTCCGACGACCCATCAATTAGGTATTATATTATATTTTTGAATTTAGCCAATACAGAGCTGTTGGTTAGCTTTTCTACATACTGAATTTATTAGTATGGATTATTTATAAAATCTATTATTGCGAATTGTAAGCAATTTCGCGATATTTTCTCCGTTAATAGCAATTAAATTTCTCTCTCTCTCTCTCTCTCTCTCTCCTCTTCCTACGCCCCCTTCCCCCTTTATTAGGGAAACTATGCTGCACGCTTTACGAGGAATTATAACGCCGGCTGGTGATAAAATGTCCGAACCCATAAGGAAACAAGTATTTATAACTTTAAGTGAAATGCTTGGGGTGCAAGAAGACGTGACGAGAAATGCCGTGGCAGGTTGTTACGGTGCTCTGATAAAATATCTCAGTCCCGAGCAGCTCAATACAGCGTTCAATAATAATCTTTTGTGTATGTTACATTATTATTGTATTAATTTCTCAATACGATCGTAAGATGGTCCTCGAAGCTTTCCGAATGTGCTGTTACAGGTAATAATGTTAACGATGATTGGATGTTGAGACACGGCCGATCAGCAGCTTTATTTGTTGTTTTGAAAGAAGCTCCCGATATCGTGTACAACAATAAAGAAAAGGATCGTGTTTGCAAAGTAATACTGTCTTACTTATCCGCAGACCGAACTCAAATAGCGATGAACGGTGTGCGCGCTTGTGGTTATCTATTACAATACCTAATGAATCATAACCAGCCGATACCACAGATTATCCTCACACCTTTTGTCAGGGTGAGTGCATTAACAAAGTATAGCATTTTTTTTTTTTTTTTTTTTAAAAGACTTGTTACTTTTATCACCGAATGTATTATTAAATAGGGACAGATAATATAAAATGTACGATATGGAAAGGGCTTTGCTTGTTTTTCAATAAAATTGTAAAAATGCATATATCCATCTTTTATGAAATAGTATTAATTTTAATATTATTTGTGCTCTATTGACTGACTATATGCTATGATTTGCTTTATGTTTTAGTCGATGAATAATAATAGCAATGATGTTAAACAATTACTTGCTAGAGTGTGTATTCACCTTGCAAGGAATGTAAATTCAGAACACATGTCGCCAGAATTATTAAAATCGTTATTACCAATGTTGGTTAATGGAACAAAGGAGAAAAATGGTTATGTTAAGGCAAATAGTGAATTAGCTTTAATAGCTGTTTTGCGTCTTAGAGTTGGCGATGAAGAGCATCAGGTAATAAGATTTTTGTATTATCGATTAATAATATAGTTTAAGTTACGAAAACCACGCTCTTTTCTTTATATATATATATATATATATATATATATATATAATAATTATATGAATTGAAAATTATTAGATGAAACCGAGTAAACGTTTTTTTTTGTTTTTTTTTGTTTTTTGGTTTTTTTTTTTTGAATGTTGAATTTAACAAAAACAAATAATTTCTCTCTTTTAGCGGTGCGTGAACTTGTTGGATATTGGTGCGAGAGAATCTCTGTCTGATGTAGTTAGTAAAGTATTACGCAAAGTTATATCCCAACCAGAAGGCAAAATCGAGGAGTTAGATGATACATTACTTACGTGAGAAACTATGTATTATTCAGACTACATTTTCGAGAACTTTCATATCTGCTTTAGTCAAGTAGTTTTCAACAAATTTCATCGTTGGAAGTATTGCTCGCGATCGATGTACAATAATGATCGTGATGCAAGGCATCGTTACAATGACTATGACGACAATATTAAATATTCTATAGTGAAACTACTTTTTAGAGAAAATACGAGATGAAAATTTATTGAAATTCGTATAAGGTATAAGCTAAATATTTGGCAATTTTTTAATTTTACAAATCAGCGCAATATCCCTTCTTCATTCTAAAGATTCCAAGATTCCAAGATTCCAAGATTCTTCATTACAATTCGCGAAGAACGAGAAACGATCATAGTGTGAGTGATAAGCGTATGAGTTCATTATATAATGATACAGTCTAGTCGATGTGCACGCAACTTGTCTCGGTTAGTATGAATATCGATGAGAAGTGAGGAGTAATCGGCTAAGTTTTTTAAACGTTGTTCTTTTAGAGCGCATTATCATATTCATAAATGAATAAATAAATAAATCAATGCATTATTTATTTATTTATGAATTGCGTATTATAAATAAAAGGTATAATACAATAATACTAATCATAATTATTGATGTCAACGAGAACAAAAAAAATGATGTTTTTACTTGTGTACTGTGCGCGACTCAAACATTTGTGTTGTTCGCATGCAGGCGAAACACCATTTGCGTTCATTGTATAGCAACACAATGTACGTTCATTGTATAGCAATTGACGTATTTACAAATTTAACTAATAAATGCATGAAATGTACAATAATTGAAGTCATTACTTTATTAAAACTAGCTTTATTTTTTTACATAACAATCACAATAATTATTAAATGCCAATATGTAACGTATATCCTTTGTATAATATTATATTTTCAATTCATTTCATTTATTCGATAATAATGTATATAACTACTCTTATGTCATATACTTCAGAGAAGTTCCATTAACGAGTCGTCAACATGCTATATAATGAATAAATACAAAAACAAAACAAAAAACAACAAAACAAAAAAAAAACAAAAAAAAAATGCGTGAAATGTACGAAATTTATTATATTGTCGGTCTCGGCATGCAAAAAAGTGTATTTCAAATAACTTTTAACGAGATTTAATTGTTAATTCCTGTATTTTGTTTAATGCTATTAAAATCAGCTAAACGTAATTATTAATCGACTTTGTTTATTCCTTCATTCGACACCAATTGGCATAAATAATGGGAGAAGCAAAAATTCATTCGCTTGAATAAATATTCATATCCATCAAACATTTATTCATACGAACGAAATTTATTACTCACACGAATAGAAATTTAATTATTTCATAAACTTGCAAATTACGTAACTTTTTAATAGATAAACAGTATTTTATAAATTTATAATTTTCTTTACTTCTACATAAATAATATTTTTAAAACCTATTCAAATATAATAATGGTAATCTTTTCATTTTGTAAACTTTTCATATGTACCTTATAAAATAAAATAATTCCCTTACTAAACATTTTAAATTCACTATTTATGTTTTACCTTTATTAATATTATAAAAATAATACGTAATATAAAAAGAAATATGTCTTTTTTAAAATGGCATTATTGACAATTGTAGTAATTTCATCATTTATGCTATAAAACGTCAATAGATATAAATATAAAATTGTAGAATTCTGTTAATTCTGAATTTTTTTAAATGAATGTATTTACAAAGGATTTAACGGTCGATTACAACGTTAATGATATTTAAGATGCCAATAAATGTATTATTTTTCCTATTTTTATCATATTGTTAACATTAATTATCTTAAATAACTTATAGGATAATTCATTTTATTTTTTATATTCCGAATTCTTGAATTCTATATGGATTTTTGGTATATAAATAACTATTGACATTTTAGTATTTACACAATTTATGTAGCCTACTGTTATTACTCATTAATATTAAATATTAATTTTTCTCAAATAGTTGTACTCATAAACAAACTTTTTTTTTTTTTTTTTTTTTATAATTAATTTTATAAATTACTCGATGGATATTCATCTATAAATAAATGTCATTGAGTTTCGTATAAAACAAAAAAATAAAGGATAGTCAACAATATACAGGTGAGAAGACCAAGTTATTCAAAGAAAATTATATAACTATAATAACTATTCATGTATTTACTATTTTATTTAATAAAGCCGATGATTTTAATTAATAATTTTGAAATAATAACAATAATTTAACGTTATATAAATTTAATTTAATTAGATAAATGTAACAAAAACTTATAACCCGATAAAAATCTAAATTTGTTGATATATCGACCTGCAATTTAGCATTAACTTTAAATTATAAATATTATAAAATATTATATATCCGATAAATCTAAGCTAGCAAATAAAATTTTTTTTTAGAAATTATACCACTTAGACGAGGAAGTAAATTTTTATTCTTCGAATTAATTTTTTAAAGCAATATTTGATCGCCCTTCTCTCGTTTCATTCACTTGGCTTTATTTTAAGTTGTAAAACCATTTAATTGATAGTGATAATTAACCACGGATAATCCAAGCATAATCCCAATGTGTATTTTAATTTTCACAATTGTAATTGTTAGAAAGAGTAGTGCGTGAGAACGAGTAATATAAAAAATAGATATAATGCTGCCAATCCTTTCTTCAGTTTACATTTTACATTCTTCATCTACAAAGGTATAATGGACCCTTAGGACGAAGTATCATACAGTTGAGTACAGACAGACACACAAGGAGTCTTAATTCATAAACCTTACTTTAGAAAGGCATAAAAAGAGCAACACAATAGCTTAGAAAAATCACATCATGCGAGGATAAACATTTGAGTAACGATCATTCGTGTTGATTTCATTACAATTTTCATCAAGAGTGTCGTCTTTGATACGGACATAAATCGTGGCATCGGTCGGATAAACTAAGCTAAGTTAATTAACAATACATGCAAGATAGGTAAAACAAGCGCTTTGTAAGGCGATAATAAACCGCTATAAAAAATAATTCCCTCGGTCCGTACATTTTTCATTAAAAATTCCATATTATAATTATTAAAATAGAATGACCACCTTATACGATGCTCTCGCCTTAACGTTTCATGCTATTTTGATCGTAGGATGGAAAATAGTATTTAAAATCCAAAGGACGACATTATCCTTCTACCGACGCACTCACCAATGATATAATATCGGCAATAGCGCCGGTTATCGCGCATCAACGTGTCAAAGTCGTCGTCTGTGCGACTCGACAAAATCACTGAAAATCCGTGACTCGTTAAGACCGACTCGAATTACCAAAGCAGGCACCTTTACAGCTTTAATTTCCATCGGTGTAGTCGCGCGCGCGCGCAACCTACGGAACTTACAAAGGGCCGTACAGGACGGCCTCGGGTGTGTGCGTTACTAATGGAATGGGATGGGATGGGATGGGGTGGGACGAGCCGGGGTAGCGGTGAAAGGTCGAGTAGGACTCGGTCGCACGTCATTCCGACGTGTGATTCAACGGAGGCGGCAATCGCGCGAGCCGACAGGATGTTCGGACGGACGCGAGCCGACAAAGCGCAATCAGCGCCTACGTGAATGAATAAAACGAGGTGGTGAGATGCACGCGACAAGAGAGAGGAAAGAGCTCAAAGCGGGCCGACCGGCCGTGGTCCACGTGCCGCTACCGGAAATCCCGGTGCTTTACGTCTCCTTCGTGACCCGACCGACGACGAATCGACTCGGCGACAACTGCACCTCCGCTTCCTTACCTTCCAGTAGCTTCCTTGATAATCAACGTTGCCCCCTTCCCTTTAAGCGTGTAAGTGGAATTAATTGTCGGAGTCATTAGCACCGGAATCGCTCGCATTATAATATAAAATATGCAGTAAATAAAATATTAGCTGTGCAATTTCCTAATGGATTATCGATATAATTTCGATGGTGGAAATGCTGAAATGTCTCTTGTCGTTGAGAGCAAGTTCAAATAATATTTACTTGTACATTCTATTTAATAGGATGGAATAACTCGTAGCTCATTTTTAATTAAATTCCCTTTTGCGTGCCAATTGGTTTTTATTTTCTTCAAAAATCCATTTGACAGTAAATATCATCTTCCTGTCGGATATTATATCGGAAATCTGTTGTTGTTTTTCTTTTATTTTATAATAGCGAATAGTATGTTAGTTATTATTTTCTAAATCTTTACAATTTGCTTATCACGATCATTCATCAATTTTTCGTCGACAATAAATACTCGAATGTTGTAAAATCAACCATCTCAATCGTACTTTTTAGACATTATAATGGAAACGAAAAACAAAAACGAAAAACAAAAAAAAACAAAAAACAAAAAACAAAAAACAAAAAAAAAATGGAAACATCAAAATTCTATGATCTTCGAAACCTGAAATTTAAAGTTCATAAATTTATACAAAAAAATGTAAGAATAATTAATATAAATCATGATAAATTACATAATTTTATAAAGTAAATTGCTTACAGTTAAATGTTTAAAATAAAATTTCAAAGTGGAATATCAATGCCAATGCTTAGATCGCGCATAATGTGAAAATGTGTTTATACATTAGTTAAGTGTTTCCAGAATTTTTTCCGTGAAATCGCAGCTCGAAATAAATAAACAAGGAACTTTATCCATGAGCATTCGTCGTCCTGCTATTGCCCATACAAAAACGTCGAGATCTCCTGAAAAGTGAAATACTCTGTATCTCCAGACTTCCTGTTAATGCATATTGTACAAACACGAGCCCCGGCAAAATAAGTTAAGGATACACAGTTTTCTCGCATCTCACACGTGTGCGCTGGCTGCAAAAGGGGTTAGAGGAGGTAAAATTCGTCCCGACTGTAAGTCAGGAGTCCTGCGCGCTTTTTCGTGCAGCCTTTCCAAGGCCTGTATACTTACGCATTATGCCAAGAGTCCTTGTTACTTTTTCAAAAGTTTTGAGAGGAGCCGAACAAACGTGTCTCCCCAACCTGCTCCTGCTTCTCTCGCGCTTCCATGCGCACGCGCACATGTTATAAGGGATGAAAGAGGCGCGCGGAGGCTTCCGTCACGACACGATTGTTTTGATAAGTAGAGAAGGAAGACGGCGGTCGCCTCTTTTGTACTCTCTTCTTTTTTTTTGTCGCTCCTCTCTTCCGAAGGATTTTTTTTTTTTTTTTTTTTTTGTTTGTTGGTGTTTGTTAGATAATCGCTGCTTTTATCGGCCTCTTATTCTGTTGTCCTTTTAGATCTTACCCAGTCCTGTTTATTGCGC